TCTAATAAAAATATGAAAAAAATAATTCGTAAAATATAAATTGACCAAAATACCTTCGATATTTATTAATTAATGATAACGTACAAGATATAGTTTCAAAAGAACATCAAAGATAGAAACATACGTGGGGTCTCCTCCGAGACAATGATCGCGCTTGGCCCTTTCAGTCCATCGCAGCCTTCAATATCTGATGCATCGATGTCATAAAATGACCACCACTTTGAGCTCCCATTGTTCATAACCAGGTCACCTGTGACCATATTGACCTGGACATTAAAGAACAGTCAGTTTGACCATATTGACCTGGACATTAAAGAACAGTCAGTTTGACCATATTGACCTGGACATTAAAGAACAGTTAGTTTTATAGCGGTCCATGAGGAAAGTCCATAGTGACATTTGAGTAAGAAGGGTGGAAAGCCCATAATTTCCTGTCAGACTCAAATTCTAATACATGAGATAAAAATTGCTGAAATTGCCATAAAAGTATTTTTTAATCAAGGTTGTGTATTCACCCTTGAAACTTAACATTGCCAATTCTGGCATTTATGTAAGAGAGAGAAAGAGAGGGTGGGGCAGGAAAACGAGGTAATTCATGGGTGTTTGTGTTTTGGGAGGTGGGTGGGTGGGGGGGGGGGGGTGAGGAGGGAGAATGTACCTGTTCCGCTTGTTCTAAATGTCGCACTTCCCCAGAGCCAGTCACCCTGAAATACCTTGGATAAATATCACATATCCTAACGTGGTCACTGGTCCCATTTAGTACTTCTTTAACTGCTGCTGGCTTTGGTGGATCTTCAACAGGAATTTCATATTTCACCACTTCTTTTCCCTTTGGCCTGTCCCTAGTGAATGCCCAAGAGAAAAAAATAGCCATGTCTCTATCAAGGGATTGCAAAAACTTAGCCTGAACCAAACTAGGAACCATCCATACAGTACTTGCATCAGCTTGGCAACAAATCAACTGAATGTCCTTGACATTGTACGTGTCCAGATAACCTTGAGGGTCCAGATCAAAACCTGCCTCAAGAAGGTTTTCCCATGAAAGCTTTTCACAGAGGGTGGTCTGATAGAGAGTTAGCCTCCCTCCTAATGTTTTGAGGTCAATCTGGACACTCACATCTTTGATTGGGTTTGCAATGTTTGTGGGGTTGCCACTGCTGTATATCTGCAATTCAGAAAGCATTTACTATGTTTACCAACCACATAAGTAACATGGACTAGAGATTTTCTTCAAAAGAAAATGTGCCTCAAAAAAGAAATACGAGCTAAACGAAAACTTAAAGACAGTTTTATTTTCATGGAGAACTAGAAGAAAAATAATCTAACCGTCTGAGAAACAGAATGATAAATTAAACATTCACAAAGTAAGTGCCATAAAAACTTGGATCATTAGAGGGTTCAAATTATTTTCAGTGAATCATACATGCCAAATTTGCAAACAAACAGATGGCTAGAAACACAGGCTCGAACCCAAATCAGTGGTTCTAATCGGCCAGCGCTCACCAAGACCCGGCTGAGTCTTTGTGGAAACACAGGTATTCATGACCCAGTGAGAGTTGGGCAAGTCTCAGGGTTTTTGAACCAGAATCAGCCAAAAGATGGGCCCAGGTTATTCGGGACTCAAGTCTGAGCCTGAGTCACTGTATTTTCAAACACTCGTTAACTGGTCAGTAAAAAATAGCAAAAATTCTGTAATTCAAATTTACTAGCACAAGCTTTGATGATGTTTTCACATGTCACAAAATCTATTATTTACAAGTTTTGCTTATAGCATGAAAGTTCCATCTATAATATGATCACATGTGTGATTTTGTAGGCCAAGTAAATGGTCAAACTCCCTTTCTCAACTTAGTACTGATGAATGTCTCATACTTCTGATTCCAAGTACTACTATATATTTTAAAAAGCAACAAATATTGATACCTCAGAACTATTATATAATGCGCATGACATAAAACATCCACATAAAGTGACCTATGAAATCTAAAAGCATTTGTGCTTAGATATCTTAATGGAAACCATATGATTAGGCTTTTGGTTAGAAAGACTTACCAGCATAGGAGCCCAAATAACACAGATAAGAACAAAAAACAAACATATCCCACTGCAGAATTTGGTCATTTTGGACTGCTTTTCCCCAGTTTGATGTGTTGCCCTGTTCAAATCCGCATCGCATTTGACAAGAAACAAACTTGCATGGATGTCCTCCAACTAAAAGGCATAGAAATGCATGCATGAGAGAAACACAATGGGCATTTTTTCTTTCCATTTCACAGATTAGGCAAGGGAATAGAATGTATGGTGCTATGCATGTGGCAACATTTATCACAAGCATAAATAATACACAACAAATTTTTAAAGTGAACTATTAATAGAACATTCTTTCATGACAGCAAGATATGAACTTGGCAAGATGGATGATAGTAACGGGAAATTTGCGAGGGGATAATAACAATTGTACATTTGCAATGAACTCCTCAGCAACCTATTATTTCTCAAATAAGATAGATATTGCTATCCATAAAGAATTCAAGCCAAATAGAAGAAAAGGGATCAGCAAATTACATAATACATCCATTACTAGAATAGAATCACTAGACGTCCATCCCTTCAAACTAAGAGGGTTCATGTCCTAATTCAATGCTTTTTATCACACAAACTCGTACATAGAAAAAAAAAAAAAGTCATTCAAGAAAGAGGTTATTGCAAATGAAGAAAATGAAAGGGGATTACCTTTAGCCAGTCATACATTGTCAAAGATGTAGATGTACATGACCAGTCAAGGACACAACGTAACTCATAAAGGAATGGTAAAGCACGATAAAGTCGAAAACCCAGGTAATTTATCTGGCTGACTTTAGTCGTCAAAAATTGTCGATACAAAGTGCTCTTATGTGGGATTCCATATCTTATTTGCAGTGCCTGAAGTGCAAGAGAAATGGCCTTGGTGAGATAGATGGCACGAAGTGCCAAAGCTCCTGTCCTCTGCTTGTCAAGCTCCATGTACCAAGCATATATGGTGACTGAATATGTAAATAAGATGAGATTGAAAAAGTAGAATATGACTTTCCCTGTGGCAAATGAGCAGAGATAAATGATGCGATCAAGCACGATCAGGAAAAAGAGAATCTGCAATGAAACAAAAATCAGATTAGCTCATAAACCTCACATTAATCTACACTGGATGGTGTTGACCCAACAGACTATGGTGTGTCCATACTCGATCGGAATAAGGTAAATGTCTCTTTACTTATTTAAAATCGCATGATACTTCATGCTACTCCATAGCATATGCGGCTTCATGAAACCATAAGAACATACGAGAAACCAGAGATATCTGTGGTTGGTGCTGCAGGGGTAAATCCCCTTGAAATTTATAGTGGAATATCAACAGACTTTTAGAGTTTCTTTTCTCAAGGAACTCTAAGAAAATTAAAAATGGATAAATTCTAAAAATCCCTGGTTAGAACCTCGGATTGGCGAAACTAACGGCAGCCGATTTCAGAATATCTTAAAAGAAGATCTTCATTTTTTTATAACTTAAAAAGTTTAATAAAAACCAAAAAAAATCTCAAGAATAAGAAGGCATTAATATTGGGATAAGGCTCTTATGATGAAGATGATGATGACTTCAGAAGAAAATAATATCATGAGAGAAATATCAAAAATATTTAAATATCTAGACAAATAATAATGTTTCAAGAAATAAGAGTTGAGTATTTTTTAATAGGATAGATTCATCAAACTATATTGGAAAAAGCAGGGAATTATGGGGAGCTTTTGGGGGTTGCATTGTTGACTTGTGCTTTTAATTTGGTTTTGTTGCTTATTTGCTTTCCAGGTGTTTTAGTGTGTGTTCTCTATTAGCTAGTCTTGTCATCCCATTTATTATTTTGTCCTATTCAGTAGTTCTTTTCAAAAAAAATTAAGCGATATGTGACCATATAATGAATGGTTTCTGCTGTTTAGTAGCAGAGCAGTCAGCTAAAGGCTTCAGATGGATCCATCTAGTGGAATGGCATGGGGATGGAGTATTTCGTCAATCAACTAAGTAAAAAATTTAAAAATGACAAAACAGAAGGGAAAACCTAGCACTTACCATTAGAACAAATACAAATTCCTTTGGGAATTGATCTTCAAGCTGATACACATCGAGAAACTTACTGTTGTTCTTAATTGCCGATTGGTAGAACATGGCCACCAAAAAAAAGGTAACCAAATCTGCACAAAATATGTATGCATACAAGTCAACTTCTCTCTTTCCCCCAGCAATCACAGATATTATTTCATATGGAAAACCCAACTCTTCAACAGGACCCTCCCTCTGTGCTTTACATATTTCAGCCGCCACATCTGCTGCTGGCGTCAATGATTTATACCATTCATTTTTGGGACAGCCCTCTAAAGGCGAAGCATACACAACCTCAAAAACTGCTAAAGCCACACTTGAATTTTCAGGGCTTCTTTCGATGCTTTGGACCCTGACTTTGCTAGCAGAATGGCAGGAATTATTGTGGGTTGTCTTGCAGTTCAAATTATGCACAGATTCGAGAAGTTTATTGACTCCTGATTCGATCCTCTCAGGTTGAATTGTATCCTCAGGCCAAATATCAACCTCCATAGACAGCTGAACAAAATAAGGGGGTGCCTCTGATCCATGAGTCAGGGATTTCCAGTACCTTGAGAAGGCTCTCCTAACAATTCTCAAAACATTCATGAATGGTGAGACCAATGTTTTAAGCCTCTGTTTCCAACCATCATGTCCATGAGCCTCGTCCTGGAAAAGAATCTGCCTGCTATAAAATCTGAATTCCCTAACTGACATCCATTCCCCATCTTTGGCAGTTATCGAACTCTGCAAGAGGGTGGATAGATACACCAAGAACAAAGGAAGGGTGCTTATCACAAAGGAGGCAGTTATTTTATGGGCTGGAAACCCCAACCTCCAAAGAATGGGTGATTGAAAGCTCCATCCACAATGCTGAATGATGATCTGATATAAATATTGCAGCAAGATGTTCATTTCTGTACAGATAAGCATGATAACCCAAAACAAGTAATTGGGTCCAGGATTTACACAGAGCGCATACAAGAATAGAGCTCCAAGATACACCATAGATAGCAAACTGAAGTTCCAAAGGAATACTAGTATAAAACAGCAATAACACACAACATCATTATTGGATCTCATTTTGGTCCAAATATAGTGAAAAAGCTTTCCTATCCGTGGGCTTGTCAGTTCTGGTGCTGCCCTCACATCATTGGATATTAGAGAAGAAGTACGCTCCGAATTCTCATAGCAATGATCTGTATTATTATGGCTCTCTGTTTCATCAAACCCCCCATCCTCTGCAGAAGAATACTCATTAGAATCTGAATCATCATGCTCTATCTTCAAGAAGCTTACGATATTGGTAACAGCTTGATTCCCAAGGGATTGTACTTGAGAGACACCATCACCTATCAGTTGCACAGCGGATATTAGAGGGTTCTCTTTAGTTTGGCTTTTGTCTCTCTCCTTCCCATCTGAAAATGCAGATAAACTCGCAGATCTTTCTTCAAGCTCAGTGATTTCACAAGAGGATGAATCTGCATAATTATTCACATTTTCCACTGATGAGTTCTTGGGTTTTCTGTTCAAATGCTCAAGTACAGTTTCAGCCTCATTCTGCTCCTGTTCTCTGTGATCTCCCTGTATCTCAGGTATTCTAGGCATTCTACTCATTAAGGGAGAGGAATTCAGGTCTCTTCTTTGTATACTCTCGCTGTTGGGAGAGGCATTAGTATTACAGTAGTTTCCCCCACCATTCAAGCTATGCAGCTGACTTTGCAGATTGAGCATTTCTGCTTTCATCTTCTCGACTTGCAGGTTTCTCTGGCGCTTCTTCTCCTCGGATTTTCTTATATGCTGCAACTGCGCTGTCTTCCAAGCCGCTCTCTTCTCTTGGGCATGGAGCATGGCATCCATCTGCTCCGCCTCGAGATACCTTGAGACATAATCAAACTCCCTTGAGCAAAAGATATAAGATTGGAGTGATACCAACATGAAAATAACAATCTCAACCAGAGCTGATCGCGAAGTAATCCTAAACCCATAATCATATTTATAAAAGCCAACGACTTCATAAATGTAGTCTATTTTTGCACACTTCTCAGTGTTGGTATCCCCGAGGAAAGGTGACTGGTATGCTAGAGAGAGAACAATGAGCGCAAAATTATACATGCGCAAAAACTTGAAAATTTGATTCTTCTTCTTCATTATGTCAAGCCTCATTCGGAAGAAAATCAATGCAAATCCCAGGTAACCCAGGTGCAATATATCATACTCCAGGGTTCCGGTAATCAATATGAGGAGAAGAACAATATCCAATAGATGACAGTAAGCATACAGCCTCAGATAATCAAGGATGGTCCAGTGGCTCTTTGTTTCATATGAGAGTTCTCTCCAAACTGATGCATTGCTTCGCTGGGACATCATCTGGCGATATGTATCAGACGCTGAGAAATCGACTAAATGATCGGAGCGAAATTTGAAAGATGCTGCAATGAAAACCAAATAGTAGCTCACAAGCATCTGTGGATCATCAACAACAAGCCCTGTGAAAGAAGCACATGAAAACTTTAGAAGCTACCTAACTCGTTCAGTGAAGTTTAGCCAAACTATGTCGCCGACACGAAGCATAGAAGGGCTAATCGTTGACATTCAGTTGTGGGTCACTATTGTCTTAATTTCTGCCATGATAGGAGAAATTTAGGCCAACTTCAGCCAAACGGGAAGAAAATGCAATTTACATATCAAAAAAAAAGAAAATAGAAAACAACATTTGAACCAAGTTTTATGCATATTGTACATGGGCCAAGAAAAAAACATAAATTCAATCTGGGGGCTGAAATAAACATAATTTCGAACATAAAGAAGGCTAACAAAAGATTTACTCAAAAGCCCTATGTTCCTGATCCTGTGCTAGCTCAAACTTGAGACAGCTGCCTAAGTGACCAAGGCAGCGCTGAAGCAGCCAGGAGCAGACCCATGTTTCCATGCCACAGGCATTATGCCTTATAGAAACACAAGTTATAAATATTGCAAATAAATATGCTGATTTCGTTCCAAAATCTGAAATAACGTTTAGGGCACCATAAAGAATTTCGTGGGAAATTGAAATTCTAGTCCAAAAAAAGACTGATATTTTGAACCTTGGCTTGCTGCAGCATTTTGCAAAAACTAAAGCTTCTGTGTTTGGGCCACAAGTTTTTTGGGTCTTTACTGGACAAATGAATGACTAAACCAAGGATTTTGAAAGGGATAAAAAATGCATACCCAGCCAACACTTTGTGCAATAGTTGAAGTATATGCTTGAGTTACTCCAGCAATCATGGCAGCGCACTTTGGACTGGCTCGAAGCGTCAGGATCCCAAGGCATAAAATTTTTCCAGGCAGCCAAGTACTCAACAGTTAGAATGGAAGCAAAGAGGAAGACAAATAGAGGCCATAACTTTCGGATCACATGCCGGTTGAGAAGAACACAAGCCACAAGGCATAATACATAGCAAAGTGAGATAGCATTCAGCACGGTAAAGCTTGCTAGCAGTAACACAATCATGTTAACCTCTAGACCGAACAGGTTAAAAATATTTTCCATCCAAAATTTGAGATAGACTCTCAGGGTCCTCACTTGCATATCAAACCTCTCCTTACGCAAAGCAAGTACCAGCTTCTTATTCCACCGGTGACTCTCCTTGGTACTACCCCAGAAATAACTGAAAGATAATCTTCTAGTGCTACTGCCAGAACCCTCCTCAGCTTCTGTAGAACCTGACCCTTGGAACGTATCAGACCCAAAAGCCGGACATGAATTGGTAACTACACCCCTCTGCTTAATTGATAAAAGACTGCTATCTAATGTTGGGTTTGTATCCTCAGTGCATTTAGAACTACCAGTATGGCTCTTCTCTTTGGACACAAATAAATGGCAAGGTTCTTCCCATTTTCCAGTATTTTTCAGAGAAGCAGGCATCTTTTCTAGCCAGTGGAAAACATTATACTGAAGAGTACATGTCACTATGACTAGGATTTTTCCCCTCAAGCCTGCTTCAAGTCCCCAGAAACCAGCACCAAATACTTGGAATCCAAGAAGGTGAGACAAATACGAGTGTTTTTGACCAGGAAACATATGAGCCTCACTTCCCCACATCTGGAAAAGATATTCAGACGTCACCAGGAGTCCAGTATAAACCAGGTAAAACTTGGAAGGTATACGGGAAACTTTTGGTAGAAAGGCAAACCCAACCAGTGCGAAAAGATATATAAAACCAAAGGCACTGATCGGAGATGAAGAAGCATAAAATACAGCGAAAGATACAATCTTTTCACTGTGCCAAATAAGAACTCTTCTTATAAAACCCAAACAGCCATTTTCAAACTGATTGCATCCCTCAGAACTCTCATAGTACCTGCTCTGCCTCCTTTCATAGCTATAAAGCTGCATCACTATCAACACTGCTAAGGATTCCCAAACATTCTCCAATAAAGGAGCATCAGGATTGTAACCTAGTTCAGTATAAAGATCAATAAACCGGGAAAGCCACCTCTCAAAACTAGGAAAGATACTCAAGCTGTAAGCGAAGATAAAAACTAGAGTTGCATATACTTTTAGAGGAAACCAGAGCCGCCTCCTGGTCTTCTCAACTAGTTGTCTTCCAATTATCCAGAATAACAAGAAAAACAGATAGCCAAAAGATATGTAATTTGGGATCACCAAATATACCGTAACAAGAATAGTCAGAAATGCTATATATGTACCATATGAACGGTATGTTGATAGAAATTTCTGGCTAACAGCACCAAGATAAGTAGCTATCCACTTCTCTGAAATAAAATAACAAACAGACTACCATAAGCAAAGTCACATGATTTCCATTGATTTCTGCGGACAGAAAATAATAAAAATCCACTAGCTTCAAATTAATCAGATCATCTTATTTGGCAGATTTACTTGATTAAAATAATCTGAATTGGAAGCATATATCGTATTCATTCAAAAAAAAAAAGCATATGAGATCAATTCAGCCCAAAAGTTTTGGTCTTGGTCAGCCCCAAAGATGGATGCTTTTGGGTGACTTTGATCTTTGGCTGATCAGGACCCAATCCTGACCGATTCGGACCAATTTTTAGTAACTGCATGATTCAAAACTTCAAATAACAAAAAGGTGATTTTTCTTGCTGATTATGGCAGAATTAATGGCTTGTTTTGGCTAGCAGCTCAGGTAAAAATTTGATTCTGCCAATGCTGATTTAATGTGATTCTGACAATGTCAATCTATACATCTAGTTATCGCATTGATAAATTCCGCTGTTTTGCAACATTTTCAAATTAACTTTGTAACAAAGTTATGCATTAAATGTGGAACACCATGGAACTTGAATAGATTTAATCACTTTTTGCATTGAATCGCTTTTTGCTTTGAATACATCAATCATTATTTACCATGAGAAAGATCCTGGAACTGATTGTTCCTGGCAGTTGAGGACGCATAGACATACAATAATACTGATTTGTTTAAACCAGCTTTCAAGATGCTAAACCCTATGGGAGGGTGGGGAGTGTGCTGCACAATTGCCGAAAAGGAAGAAAGAATCTTAAATCCATGGTTCTGAACGGCACAAAAGATCATGAGTGCAGCAATCTTCAAAAAGTCCCAGCCGCTAGCATGATACAGGAGGCCTGCAAACATTGTTGATAATTGACATCAATATACAAGTCTCATATTAGGAAACATACATTAACCCAACGGGCTATAATATAGCCCGCTGGATTCATGATTGTCCAATTAAATGATGGACAATAGGGTGGATGCCACCAGAGGAAGCAATGACCCATAATGACCCCAACGGACTATGGTTTCCCATAGGCAATTGGAATGCAGCACACTTCTCAGATGTTCCAAGCCTTTATTCATAAGCAACAAATCAGATGTGTCCCAAGAACATTTGGAAATTCACAAGGCATTATTACAAAGTACCCTTTTACAAGTGATTGAAAGAAAAGACAAGGTCAATACAAAAATGTACCTAACTGTGAAAGGAATGTCATAATAAGGGACCCTTTGTGCTCCAGAGCCCTAGAAATAAGATTAAGCTGAAGGATGTATAGAAGTGCAAAATGCGCTTCGCATAGGAGAATCAAAATCTGGCGGATCCCCCTGCTCACTGAGTGGCTCAACAGATATATAAAGAAGAAAATCACTGAAAATTAAAGGAGAATAAGCATCACCCATTTGAATCTCAATTCATGAACATATAAGTTTACTTCAAGAAAATCAGCAAGCGGACATACTTAAGATATTCCAAACTACATTTACTACTATGAGGTGTGTGTGGTTCAGTAGGAACAATTACGTGATGTGATTCTAAACCAGGTGAAATGCATTTAATAATGCACATGCAGAACATTCTACAAATTAGACAAATTTTAAATGACAAAATGCACCAAAAACAACACATCTAAGCATAGAATGTATATGGGAAACAGGTTAATAGGAAAGTATACTATAATCCAATGAACATGGAGCACCATAGTTCATTGAGGTCATGTCCATCAGATGCAATGTAGAGTGATGGAGAGATCAGCGATGAGTCTTGCAACCCACAGAAACAGGAAATGACCCCAATAGAAGGTCCCACTCCCTTTCCATCAGTGTCCGTTTCATCACACGGTCATGACATTAACATGCAATAAAGCAACATCAATAATGAGTAAAGAAAGAGATGAAATAGAATCTGAGCGATGAAGTTTCCAGGATGGTTTTCCAAGGGTTGTGGTAGGACAGTAAATGGGCTGGATCCCGGTCAACCCTGACCTGGACACAACTATAAGGGATCCAGGTGAGACCCCAATAGGACCTGGACCGAGGTTGGTCCAAATAAATTGGACCTGATTGGGTCCAGGTCGAGACCAAAAATTAATTAAAAGTTATATAAGTCACACACATATACCAGGTCGGGTCTAGTAGGCCCACACCTGGTCCCAACCCGACCCAATGCAATATGTTCAAGACTGGACCTGGATCCCGAACTGACCATCAGGTCCAATGCCCGAGTCTAGATGGACTCAGTTCGGGTCGGGTTCACCCATTGGTTCAGTGGGTGTAGGGGTGGAAACAGGTCGGGTCAGATCTGCGTCCGACCAAACCCAAAAACAATTTATGGGGCCCAGGCCTCAGACCCAAACCTAGAGCCAGACCAGGACCCGACCCAAAAAAAGAAAAAAATATATATTTCAATATATTTAAAAAGTTAATATATAAATATATTATATAAATATATTATTTAAATATTATAACTAAAAATATGGGGCTATATTCATTTAAATATCATTAATATATTATTAAAATATTATATATTAAATATTCTTTAAATAATAACACTATTCGGGTTGGGTCTGGGTCGGTTCCACATGGACCCGGACCCAACCCGCCGGGTCCAACTTTTGGACCCATACCCGGACCTGGGACTAGTCTGGTCGTCGGTCCGGGTTCATTGCCACCCCTAAGTAGGTGTGGGTCGACCTGACCGCTTTCCCTACCCTAATGTGGGTTAAAAGGCTACAAAGACGTCACCAGAGGATGCATCACAATGAACTCTGTGAGGAGTGCAAGTAGGCCACCCATACTGAGAATGTATCTTTCAGTATACTATTCCATTGAGGTCTATCAACAATTCAAGATCTTACTTATTATAAAAGCATTCAAGAAACAGATTGTTCACAAGGGAAATTCATTTTACTTGAAAACGTCAAAAGAAAGAAAATCAGAAAAAAGGTTTGCAGGTTCAACATTGACAGCTCTTAGTAAAGCTAATATGGAAACTACAGATTAGTCACTGAAACCAATCTAGCATAAACAACTGTAGCCTCTTACCAACAACAAAAGTTATCCACATTGCCACTCAAACGAAAATTGAGATAAATCTGTAACAAAAGACTGGATAAACATACTATAAACTGCATGAATAAAACCCGGCTTCATTGCAAGGAGAAATATCATCAGCAGTGTAATAGCACGAGAACTCTTCCGTAATCCCCAAGCTATTGTAGCCACAATCAATACCTTTGTCTCTTCTTTCTCTGCAATTAAAGACAAGACTTTCATAAACGCTAAGAATTTGGAATTGTACATCTTCATCATTCACCAATGGCAGAAACAAAGTGCTTCAAGACAATACAGAAGAACTCCTACATTTTTTGAGGTCGACAAACTAAAGTCAAAAGAAAAATGAGGTAACGCATAATGATTTTAAAAACAAAGATAAAATGGAAATTCGAATAATGTTTAGCTCACCTTCAGCTGCAGTGTCTCGATTTGAGGATTGCTCGTCCTCATCAGACAGGTATTGGAAAACAGAGTTGTTCACAAGGTTACCCATGGCTACAAGAAAACCAAGGCAAAATTGAGCAAGGAGAAAAAATCCTGGAATTGGGTAATGCCATAAACCAATTGTTTCCCAGATCTCCATATCCTGAAAAGGTGTAAGAAATTAGTTGCATGAGTAAAAGCATTTATAATGATGCAATGAAAACTTCCCCATAAGCATAGCGACCCCAAAAATAAATAAATAAATAGATAAAAAAAAGCACAACGTTACCTGCTTCAGCTTTTTATTCAGAAAGGTGAAAGCCACATTAAAAATGTATGTGCTTGCAGCCCAAAGAAGAATGAAGACAAGAAGTAGCCCATTCAACTGATGCAAGTGGAACAAGGAAGGGGATGCATATAGAACATAGCCAACATATGCAAGTAAACCAAAAGCACATATACTTGCAAAGTTGAAGCTCCAAAATGAAAGAGCAAGCAATGACACCTGTCATGTTCATCACTGAAAGTTTTATATAAGACAAGAAATATTGTAATGTATCCCAACTTTTTTTAACATTAATAGCATTCAAATGAAAAGCAGCTGAATACACAATTTAGAGAAAGAGAAAATCTTCAATAACATGAAGAGAAAATAGAAAAGGAAAAAATAGCCACACTGCCAAAGCATCATGAAAAAGTAAAAGGTAACGACAATATAACCTGGTATAACTCTAAAAGCTTTAACACTATAACCTAATGTAGCATAAAAATTTAACACTATAACCTGATATAATTCATTAAAAGCATACCACTCGTGAGAGAAACATGTTTAGTAAGCGTGTTTTAAAACTAGGAATCGCTCGAGGACTTGACAAATGCCCAGATTCAGTGCAGGGAGTTCGGGGTAGACTCGCTGATTCCTGCCTGAGCCCAAGAAAAATGCCTCCAAAAAATCCCGATAAAAAGATAAAATCGGAAAAACAAAAAACAAGAAAAATTACAAAAAAAATAAAAATTAGATGCAAAAATAGTTTCTTGTTCTACCTCCAATCGCCGATCCCAAATAGTTGGTATAAGGCTCGGTTGATGATGATGATTCTACCTTGGATATAGTTGATCCAAAACTCTCGAAATTTTTGGGCAAACCCATGTTCGATATTCCAAATCTCACAAATCCTAGATTTTGATTCTTTTTTTTCTTTTCGGCTTTTTTTTTGTTGAATCTAAATTTTGAATTTGATAGAGAATGCAAAATACGCCTGAAAGGAACTAAAGTTGCAAAAGGCAAGCAAGAAAGGGGTGGGACAAACCCAGGTACAAAATTACATATTTGGCAAATCTGAGATTTTAAATGTCTTTTTGGCGAACTTGTGGTTTGAATTCGATAGAAGATAAATAAAAAAATATGGTTAGGGACGACTTTACAGGGTTACTGGGGCAAGAACAAGCAAGAAAAGAAGGTCAAGTTTCTACCACCCCCCCTCCCCAAAAAAAAAAACAAAAAACCCAATATTTGAACAAGTGTAGGATTCGACAAGTCCTGAAGGACCCACCCGAGTCCCTTGGACTCACCCAAGTACTGTAGCAACTCGAGCAAGTTGGGCTGCAGTAGGGGCTCTCCGGGTGCCAGGTCTGAGTAACTTGCCCGAGTCCAAGTTAGACTTGGTGAGTTTTGGAACACTGAATCCACACGAGAATATCTTTTTATAACATAGTGGCTCGCCTTGACCAATGAATGCTCAGCTAGAATGAAAGCCATTTCAATATATATCATTAACATTCATATGTTAATTGATACAAATACTTCAATAGAGAATAAAAGAAATACTTTAGAAAAATAACAGAAAGGCACCAAGTTGTGTAAAGCATACCGGGAACCCATATGTGAAAAAATTGATACTAAAGTTCCGAAAAATAGCTCCCTTGAGCAAAACATTTGTATGCCTCACACCAGACCTGATACAGAGCAAATAATCCAATGAGAATACAAAAGAAAAAAAAAAAATTACATGAATTGAATTGAAGAATAACAAATTCCAAACGCAAAAAAGAATATATACTAATTCCAATAAGAGGAATAACCATGTCTTTCTTTATGCGAGTTTGGAAGGTCAAGTAAAGTTCAATTGTAAAAAAAAAAAGGAAAAAAAAAATGCTAAGGCCCAAAAATTAAAAGCATTTTGCATATACCATGGTCTACATTACTCAAAAAAATTCTTAAGATTCATCGAAATTTTTTCTTACCAGCGAAAATCACCTGAAGTGTTCAAGAATTATATCACATCATATGAGAAGGCTAGCAAACGACAATTTTTTCCACTAAAATACTAATTCTTGATGGGCTTCCAAAGATCAGAAAAAATAAATAAATAAAGAACATTCTAATCGAACCAAAGAAAATACTACTAATAATAATTATTAATTATTAATTATAATTATAACTATAATTATTATTATTATCATTATCATTATTAAACTAAGTGTGCTTTAGTGCGGGAATTACGATATGAGTCATGACATCGATAAAATCTTGATGACAAGGGAAACCAAATACACAAATTCTTAAGATGTCAAAGAACCAAATTTTTATGCCACAGAAAGCGCTTGTCAGTTAAATTCCACTTCATTCAGAAGTTTAAGCCATAGCAACATATCCACAAGTTACCTTGATTCTCTAATGAAGAAAGAATGCTTTAATGGTAGAAGTTGCTCCGTCAAGCTGTTTTCTCTCATTGACATGATAGACTCCATTTCTTCTAAATCGCATTTGACACAAGAAAGCTGTTGGAAGTTAAAATTTATGAGAGTATCATAAGCTCTGAAACTGTGGAGTTGACAAACATTTCCAATGTAATAAAGGAAGCCCTTGATAGATATATCTAGGTAACACAGAGACTTAGGAAATGTTCCCACAAGTATATAGAATAACATAAAGAAACAAGTACGAGAACATAGTTCATCCAGCATGATATTAATATGTACCAGTGTTCAAATATTCAGCCCCAATGGCCAACTCTTTTTCATTGCCAAAACTAAGTCAACTTGCCAAGCCACATAGTTAAGTCTGAAACCTTCATCGAGTTTTTTTTTGTCTTAATTGCAAGATTATTTAAATTGTTGTTTTCAAAATTGAAACAAATAAACTGCCTGCCAAAAATATTATCCCAGTTCATCACCCAAGTCATAGTGCAATGCTGCCACATTAGAAGGGACCACATAGTAGTCAAATGACATAGCAAATTTGTATAAGGAAAAATTACAACACATTCGAGTTTTTCATTTATAAAATTCACCCACCAAACGAGCCGACTTAGGCAAGATTTCATGCTCAAAACAAGTTTTTGTTCACTGAATTATACCAACTTGAGTATAATGAAGAAGAATTGTTCCTAATTGCAATTATTCAGACAAATAACACTTGATGTAACCTAATGAGAAAATCATTTCCAAGAAATATGTATAAGAATAACTTGAAAGTGAAGAAAATCAATCATGCCCATAAATGCCCATACTAGATGTCAACTCTCCCAAACTCATTCTCAACAGCTAGGAAGAATAACAATGAGTTTAGCCAATAAGATGCCATGATGGATCATGTTACACAGTCCTACTGAACAAAACAAGGACCCTTCGATGACTATGTGCATGTGTGTATATACTACGAGTCGTGTGTGTATGTTACCATCACCATCTACCAAATATGGTTGCAGTCCATCTTAATATGCTTTTTCAGCTCATGGAAAACATGACTGATAGACAGAGGCAATCACATTTATTCTAAAATTTGCTTTTTCCTCATAATAGCTTTTTCTTTTTTTATTGTTAACCAAGCTTCGGTAAATTTTAGAAAGTTGAATGAGTATGAGAGTATGTGTTTCCGCCTGTACATACATATACCTTGACAACTCTTGCATACCCTTCAAATCTTTTACCTAATCAAATCAAAGACCAAAATGAAATCAATTGATCGCCGTGATCACTAACTCTTATCGATGAAAATCCCTCCACGGTTAGAGAGTCCCAAAGCTCATTGACTCCCTCCAAACATTCCTGAAGCTCACTTTCCTCACTAAACACAATAAAAAATTTCTTCAAAACACTTACTTTTAATCTCCACAGGCATTCTACTCTCCTTGTGGCGCATGCAATTACATTTTCCAAAGCACCTTTGGTAATGTATGATCAGTCCTGCTTAAAATTTCGTAGCCCTGCTAATAAATCGTGTACCTCCACCTCATTTGAGTTGCACTATTATCAAGAAAAAGTCATGTTGGCACAACAATCAAAAGCCAACAAACATAAAGGGGGAGTGCTTTAACCCAGAAAAACCGTACAAGGAACTCTCAGGCTGCACATATACATATGTTCATTTTTTAATTGGTATTTAATATGTATTCAAAGCACAATACTCATCTCTTGCCAATTCCCCTAGCTCGAATCCTTTGCAGGAAGCATCCTACCCCTCTATAAAATTCACATAGTGTGCTAAATATGACCATACATTTGAACTACTTAAAAAAAAATATGACCATACTTTGATCCTCTAAGAAGGTTGGGTAGAACAGCACTAAATACATATCAAAATACTTCTGTAGTTTTTCTACACTTCATCGCATCCCAGGTCCACCTGGACACAAGATTGTGACAACCAGCATCCATGTAATTCATTTCCTTGCAGTAGACCCTACAGTTTCCTTCCCACGCTACTACTCATACCATATGTCTTCCTCTCTCCAGTGCCACCAAGCATGCTATTCACATCAATTGACCTCAGCTACCACGTTCTAGCTGCTGGAGACAATGCCTTCGTCATCTCTTTACGACGAGCTACCAAACCCAACGAGTTCCACAGAGCCAAGTGAACTAGATTAAAACTAAGTCTAGTTGTATTGCACTTTAATTGGAAAACTAAGCAAACACTCTCGATCAAAAATAATAATACTAATAATAGCAGTAATAACAACAACAATAATAATGATAATAATGCAAAAATACCTGATTTAAAGAATGATACAGTGTCAATGTAATAGAAAGAAGTTCTGTTTTTTCTATTATGGTTTTCATGCGCATCCATTTCCCTCGATAACATGCAAAAAGCAATCAAAAAAGAAAAGAAGTACTTCAGTTGTTAAAACAGAAAATAAACATGGGGATCACACAAATAACTAGTTGTTTTCTATGTCTCTGATGAAGAAAATAAAATAACGTTTTGTTGACATTTTGTGGACTGCATTTTCTCTTTAGCTTTAGCAGGGGTATTATATGGGTATTTTTCTCTGTAATGGAATTTTTTGGAATTTGCAGAAAAGCGAGGGACTCCATTTAAATTTTGTGAATGGGAAATTTAGGACGGAAAGGATAGAATTTAAAATTAAAATTTTGCTTGGGAAGAGCTATTGTGTATGGGATAGTGTCCATTAATACTTCTAGAAACTTTAATTGTGCATGGCTTAGGAAAAGGTATTCTGCAAGACTTGGGAACAGGTAGAGTCCATTGATATTCCAAGGAAAGTTGAGAGAGCTTTGACTTAGAAGCCAAGCCAAGTCTATTAAAAGAGGGAGATTTTACCCCACTGGGATGTATGTTTTTGCTGTAAACTCTCATAAATCAGGAACTTAGTTCCTCATACAAGCCATTGAAGCTAGGCTTTTTTAGCTTCAGCCCGATGTCTTTGAATCACAGTTGATACCCTTTATTTTCCACCTAATTGTGAACTCTCTCTCTCTTTTCTTTCTGTTCTATACCAGACTCAAACACAATTTTGTATAAATTTCCCATTTTATGATCACATAATAAGTCTGAGTAACAATCAGAAGCATACCATGAAATAGAAAATTAAAAGAGAAAGCCCAGAACAAATTTCTGGCCACTCTGACTTTGCAGATGCCTTGTACAATCCAATGAAGCTTGCAATTGTGTTGATTATTGTTGGGAAATGAATAGGGAGCTGATATATGTAAAGCAAGATGATGTTGAGAGCAGCATAGAGTAACAGAGGCCTCCACCACCTTTCACAACAATAATTAAAACCAGGTGGTTACATGGTAATTAACGCTGGTTCATCTAAAGATGCATACGTGCACATTAAAGAAGAACGAGGTCTTTTAAGAACTCTGAGCACTTACCAAAACAGTCCCAAAAAGTTGCTAGTCAGTGACCAACTAACAAGACCAACACAGCTACAAATAAAGAACGGAAGAGAAACCCAAGAAGGATAGCTAATCCCAACAACCACCTGAATAGCAGGCAATAGCAAGCAGCAAGCTACCCTGAGGGGAGAACCTTCAATGAGATCATGAAAAGAATAATTAGTCAGGACAAAAATAAAAAGATTGTAGTATCTCATGTGCAGAATTCTTAGAAAGAGAAGGTCAAACGGAACTTTCAAGCCCATCTGTAGCTAATTTCAGGTCTTTAATCAGCACCTGGTCCTGACTACATGTGTTCCATCACTCACCATAATCTTTAACTGTTCTGTCAGTCATGCTTTCACAATAAATAATTAGGTATATCTATAATTCTATAAACATACAAAACAATTAAGGCAGATTTTCATGAGATCAATATCTCATCATTCATGATACATTCATGCCTATGGACCATTTGAGATCAATATCTCATCATTCATAATACATCCATGCCTATGGACCTTTTTAGGAACTATAAATATCCTTCATTGAGATGCTCATTGATCCCTGTTAAGCACTTCACTTTCTGTTACCATTTAGGTATTCCATTCTGGTCACAATATCAACTCCACTATGACCATGGATGAAATGCACATACAGATAAAATTAGTGTACAAATAGAACTGCACAACATGAGAAAAGGAAAAATGTATAGTTAGCTCATCTGAGCAGAAAATCTACTTAGCATCCTTTTAAAGCCATAGGAAAATGCCATAAGCAGGCATTTTAAATAAAACGTAAATGACTATAACATCCTGGTTGAAATTAAGTCCATTGCACTTCATTGCTCCTCGCGATATGCAGATATTTACAAGTCCTACCTGCTCTTCAGGAGCTTAGAAAGTGTGAAATTTTAAATTTTGTGGGAACAAAAGATATGCTCAACAGGAATCGCTTGGGCTTGAGTGATTAGCAATTGACATGTAGCAGCGGTACATCTCAAGTTCCTATCGCTGAACAACCCCCAAAACAAAACAAAACAAAAGATATGCTCAATGGCAGAACATGAGAAGAAAATCCAGACAAAACTGATTGAAATCATAACAAACCTAGAGATGCAATAGATGGAATTCTTCTCCAATTAGAAACTTGCCATGAAATGTGTCCCCAGCCAATCATATATAATTCATATAAAGCAATCAAGGCTGCTGTGAGCTGTAGAGCCAAGAAATAAAGTACGGAATTTGTTGGTATCCAGGGTTTATTTCTGCATATCAATAAAAGAATTATACATAAAATGGAGTTAGTGAATGAATAAAACCATGCAAAAAGCTCACTACTGAGAGGAAATGGTGGAATACATGAGGCCCATTTTCACAGAAAAAACAAATAGAGAAACAAGCAGCAAGTCATATAGTGGTAATCTATGGCAAAATTATGGAAGGACCAAATGGGCCATGTAATTTTATGAATGAAGAAAACGAGAGAGAGAGAGAGAGAGAGAGAGAGAGAGAGAGAGAGAGAGAGAGAGAGAGAGAGAGAGAGAGAGAGAGAGAGAGAGAGAGAGAGAGAGAGAGTAGAGAGTAGAGTAGAGAGTAGAGAGTAGTAGAGTAGTAGTAAGTAGTAGTAAGTAAGTAAGAACGTAAGTAACGTAACGTAAGTAACGTAACGTAACGTA